CCCGGCGGCGCAGGCGCAGTGGCGGCCGGAAGCGGCGTGTGGGCCGGCCGGGCCGCGCCCCCGCCCCTCCGCCCGTCCTCCCGGCCCGGCCCCAGCGCGCCGTGGCCCCGCCGAGATGCTGCCCCTCTCCATCAAGGACGATGAGTACAAGCCGCCTAGGCTCAACCTGCTCAGGAAGGTGTCCGGCTGGTTCAGGTGAGGGAGCGACTCAGGGCGGGCCGGGTGCAGGCGGGGCTGCGCCCGAGCCCCCGCGGAGGGGCCGGGGAAGGTGGTGCCGGGGGTGCCTGGGCCGCCCGGCGGGCGGGTCCGGCCTCCTGCCGCTGTTTCTGCGGTCGGTGACCCGCGGTGTGCTCCGTCCGTAGGTCCATCCTGGCGGACAAGACCTCCCGCAACCTTTTCTCCTTCCTCTGCCTCAACCTCTCCTTCGCCTTCGTGGAGCTGCTCTACGGCATCTGGAGTAACAGGTAGCGGGGCTGGGGGCGCGGGGCGGGCCGAGCGCGGCCCCAGCGCGCAGGAAGCGGCGCCTCCCGTCCGGCCAGTGCCACGTCTCCGCCCGGCAGGGCCGGGCCGGGCCTCCCGCCCGCCGTGCGGAGGGGCCGCTCGGCACAGCCTCGGGGCTGCTGGAGCGCTGCCCCGGCCGGGAGCGCTCCCGTGGGCAGCGACCGGCTCGGCCGCCCCTCCGCCGGGGCCCGGCGGCGCGGGGGCGGCGCGACTCGGCGCCTTCGGGAGGAATCCTGTTTGGAACTGCTGTCGTGCTCGGCTGTGGGTTGAGGAGGAAGCCTGGCCTTGGCCCGAGTTACAGTACTCGAGGGTTGTAACCGTTTTGTGCTGCCACTTGCCACAGACATCCTCTGTTTGGGAGGAATTTGTAGGTTCCTGGGTTCCTTCCTCTTTCCGAGGAAGAAAAAGGAATTAGCACATCCAGGTATAATTAAGTGGTACTTTACACAGTTCATAAATTCACATAGGTGGAAAAAAAAAAGGAGAGACTTGACTAAATTGCTATTGAAAAGTCTGCAGTGCAATATAAGCAGAAGTGCAAAGTAACTTCTGTACTGATGTATGGTATACAGGTAGACAGTGGTGCTAGTGTCAGTCATGCTTCATTCGTGATAGAGAAGTTGTTTTATGGTGGTATTTCACTCTCTTTTGTCTATAGTTCAGTTTAGAGTGGACTGGCTTGGAAATGTCAGTTAAGCCCAGCAGTGTTCTTCCATAATAGACTTAAAGTAGTCCTTGCCAAAAGCTGTAGTATGGACACCAATTACTGAGACTCTTCTTTTTAAGAGTCTTGGGTGAACGCAGCAATGTGGATTTGGAAACAGTTGCATCCTAACACCATGTTTTTCTGAATCTCTCAAACTACACTATAAAATCCTTAACTTTTATTACAGTAATTAGTCAAAGCTACAGTGTATCACTAGTGAGCACGCAGTGTTATCTTGGGCACAGAATATTTTATTAGCACACAGACTATGTGTTTGGTTTTGGCTTTGATGTTGATTCACTTTGCAGTTTTGTGAGGGTTATTATGTGCAGAGTCTGAGTATGGATGTTTTTTTCCTAATAACTCAGAAGATGTAAATATATTTCTCTATACTCTTTGGGTATAAAGTGGTTTATGTTCATGTGAGTTTGTTCTGTCTTTTAAGCATAATTTTTTTCATAGTGGGACCTAAAAAAGTCCTGTGTATGAGGTAACTAGTAGTGACACTTGGCAGTTTGTCACTGTGGAATTTAGCAATTGCAGTTGAGAAGGTTTACTGATTTTTTTTTTCATAATTGAGATTAAGAATTGTGATTTGCATTAGTTTTGTTCATTATTTCAAGTCACTAATTTTGGGTATCTCTAAGCCTAGATTTTGGGCTAGAACAAAACAGTGTCTTAGCAAGCACCTCTTTAGTAGAGAGTGGTAGCAGAGATTATGATGAGGAATGCCTTCAGTCAAAGCAGACAGTTCATACTGTGGAAGAACAAACACATAACAAGCAAACAAGGAGCTGTATAGGGAAAATTATTTCTTCATTTTGCAGAGCACAGCTCCGTCGTTCCCCACGTGAGAGATTACCTTTTGTTTGCCAAGCAGGTTGCTTCCTGAACTCACATAGCTGGTTTGTCATTTATATGATCATCCTAGAAATAATTTGGAATGCTGACAATCTTGAAGCACAGAAAACAGAGCTGGATATGGTATTTTGCTAGCTGAGAGCTTGTTTAAAGTTGAAATCTGCTACTTGGGCTGTTCTGTTTTGAAATCCTATTACATGCTCTGGTGGGGAGAAACAGTTTTTCCCCTGCAGTTATAAAATGGTAAAATGGGGGGGCTGCATGGAGGCACCGGCGCAGCGCAAACTGCGCAGCGGGACGAGCGCGGGGGCGAGCACGAGACAACAGCCCCGTTCCCAAACCATCACGGCGACACCCGAGGGTGTAATCACACTTGTGTCATTTGGTATTAAACTTGTGTTATTAAATGAGCTGTGGAAGTGTCCTCATTTAGACACTGTAGTTTATACTCTGGATGATGTGCTCCATTTCTAAACACAGTTCTTCCATACATCCCATGTTGCTAATGGTTGACTGAATCACTTGTTTACTTTAGAAATCACTTTGCACACATTTTTTTAAAAAGTCTTGTTAATTTATAGGTCACTTAAAAAAAGCCTCAGATGACATGAGATTGGCCTCTTACCAGGCTTCCTGCCACTTGTGCAGCTAAATCACTTACAGCTGTACCCATGATCCAGAGCATGGTTATGCCATGTGGTGAACTGTGCTGCAGACACAGGCTATGCTGTTGATAAATCCACATGCCTCTGGTCACCTGGAGTTGTGAGCTTAGGTCTTGAAAGCAGCACAGCTGTGCTGGTGTTGCACCTACTGTGAGTCTTGCCTTGCTGAGATTTGCAGGTGTGAGCACAGTGCCATGGTAACTTGCTGTATGATTTCTAGTTCTGGAGCTAGTATGGGATTTTGTTTCAGTAACAGCCTTTACATACTTCTCTTTCCCAGGAGACTACTGGAAAAAAAACACACCAAAAAGAGGCCTCGGAAACCATTAGCTATCTCTGTTTAGCCATGCTTATTCCTCCCATTTCAAAATCATTACAACTTAGTGTTACTGTCACCCTATTTACCTTCTACCTGAATGTTTGGTGTGTTTTGTGGGTTTTTTCCCCCCACTGAATCTTCCTTATCAAGGAACCAAATCTAAAGTGATGAGTTTCCCTAGAGATGTCACCTGGTTTGGGGCAGGGGGAAGCTGTCACCAACACCCTTCAAGAATTCCATAGCAAATTCCATTTTACTACTTCATAGGCATCCAGCTAAAACATTTGGGTTTAACTTTTAAAGTTTGTTCAGAACAGCTTTATCTGTTTCCTGCTTTGGTAGCTATAGCACCTAAGGACAATTCATCATGCCACATCTTTCTGCCTTAAATGTTGCAGTTGTGTGTATATATAACTCTGTATGTGTCCCTAAAGTATATATGTAAATATATAGATTGAGACACTTGTTCTCTCTCCTCTCTTCCAAACCTGCTTCTTCCACAGTTGAGTGTTTCATGTGAAACATTTCAGATTAATTTTGTAATTGTTTTTGGTCAGACTCATGGTTTAGTTTTTTTAATGTGAGGTAGTTGGAACTCTGGCTAATGAAACTTTTTGTTTGACTTCAGTGTGAAAATGTGGCTGTCTTCTAGAACTTGTTACTACCAGTAAACGCTTCTTGTTCTCCAGTTTCCTGAGTTGTGTACATAATTGTTCTTAGACAACCAAAGGATTGGGAAAATGAAACTTTTGGGATGACTGTAGTGAAAAATGCTCATCAGTACCTCTGTATCAAATGTCTTTCCAAATATGAAGCGAATTATGTGTTTCAATTCACATACTTCCTTCCAGACTTACAGAACCTGTTTATGAGTAATTTAGTTAACTTTGGCAGCTGTTGTGTGTACTGTTAAAGCCAGTTTACCTATAGCTTACAAACTGATATGAGTTCTACTGACCGAATAACTCATGAGCTAATTTAGCTTGCTTTGAACTTTTTAGCATGCTGTTTTACCCTACACTTTAACTGTGTTTGTCAGTCAAGACTGTAGTTGTGCATTGGTCTTTGAAATAAATCCTTTAAGATATGATCTTTCAGCTTGTGCTTCATTCAGCTTCTAGATCTAAGAGGAGTGTGGATCATCTAGTCAATGCCTTGCAGCTGCTAAGGCAAAGATTTAAGGTTGAATTATGTTAGCAAGAGTTGTGCCTGTGGGTAGATCTACTCCAGAGGTTTTGGTTTGTGTCAGGGGAACCCACCTTTCACTAGCACCAAAATCATATGCTAGGAGGATTTTTTTGCCAAGTGCTCTTCCAAAGTGCCTTTCCTAAGCTGACAAAATCAATTTTGGCATTATATTTGTGTTGGTGATGAACTGTGCATTTCTCTGTGCTAGCAAAACCATGCCTGAAGCTTAGAAACGGAGTGTATTCTGCTAGTGTGTAAAAGATAATTGGCTGTAGATTTTTTTTCGTGTTCAACATGTGGAACATAACATTTTTTTCTTATTCTCTTTCAGTTTAGGTCTAATATCAGATTCTTTTCATATGTTTTTTGACTGTACTGCTCTACTGGCTGGATTAGCAGCTTCAGTTATTTCAAAATGGAGGTCAAACGATGCTTTCTCATATGGGTAAGAAACTTCAGGCTGTTACCTTGATGTACTGTAATAACTGTTTAGGCAGTCATTTTTCACTCTATAAACAAAACCTCTTTTTGCAGAACATGGAAAAGCTATGTTGAAAGTGTGGGGGTTTTTAAGGTGAGTTATGTAAACCTTTAAGTTAATATTGCCCTAGAAATAGTAAAAATTGCTTTTGGGGAGAAGTTTTATCCCTTCAAGATCTCTGTGATCACACTAGTGGAAACAAGTTATACAGGAGAAAGGTACCCTGCCCTGTCCTGTATAAATGGCACCAGTGAAGAGCGAGAGCTGCATCCTGGGTTTGTCCTCGCAGTGCATGAGGAGTGTTACAGGGGCTTTGGCTGCTGCTGTCCCATGCCTTCTTTGAAACAGAAAGTTACAGCTGAAAGGAGCTAAGTCACAGAGATGCTGCATCTGAGATTATAAGCTGTGATTCTTGGAATCAGTAGGATTTAACATCTGCCATTTGTGGCTGCCATTAATCCGGATCCTCAAGGCCGAGGTGTCATCCCATCCTGCCCTTGGTGGATTTAGTTGCCGCAGCTGGTTCTGTTTGAGGGTCACTTGGTTTCACTGAACATTGCAGTTCTGCCCTATAAAACAATACTGGTGGTACAATATTATTAATTGGTAATACTGATTAACAGCAAATGAGGTGTAACATAGGTGCTGCACTCCCCATAACGTTACTGACCCCGGTGTCATCATTTAGCTTCAGCTGTCTTGCTTAAGTGTGAATCCTGTAGTTTGAAACTTAAAGCACAGTTTAATTAAGGTGGAAACTCCAGTGTGCCCAAAAATCAGTTTATGAAGAATCATACTATGAACTCAATTGCAATGAAAGCAGGTTCTGTATTAATTACTGCTCTTCATTTAAACAACTGGTGTTCCATTTATTAGAGAACAGCCACAATTTATTAAGTTCGATGTTTGCTACATGGAAATTACACGTTATTCTAACCTGGCAGTTTTTTATTGTCAAAATTTGATGTTTGAAATAATTAATTTCTACTTAAAACTTTCACTAGTAATCCCCCTTCTAGATGGGAAGCAAATTAATGTATGTCATTTTGATATTATACAAAACTTTACGTCAGAAGACTTCGATTACATCTTGCATGCTTATCTTAGTTTGTGGCTTCCCCAAATATATCTTTATACCACAACTTCCAGTAGAGATGATCTTAAATGGAAAGATTTTGACATATTGAAAGATTCTTTTCATGTAGAGCAGGTAATAGATGATGTGGATCAGGTAGTGTTTGTCAAAATACAACTTAATCCATTTCATACACTTATTCTTAGTTTATATGCTGCATCTTCCATTTAGCAAATTCCTCTGTAATACAGCTGTTTGAGAACTAGAAGATTGCACTCCAATCTCTTAAGTTCCACTTCTAAATTTCAGGATTTAAATGAATGTGGTAATATCTGCTATTGCTTTTTCTGTTTCTTGCAGGTATGTTCGAGCAGAAGTACTTGCTGGTTTTGTAAATGGTTTATTCCTCATCTTTACAGCGTTCTTCATTTTTTCTGAAGGTGTTGAGGTACGTTATGAAGTAAATTACGCTGTCAATTGTCACATTTCTATTATTAATAGGGGTGAAATTATTGAGTTTAATAATTTGATTAGGTTCATAATTTATTAAAAATTGGTGATTTGAACAGAGAATAGGCCATCTGAAATTGCTGTTTTGGGACACAGAAACCCAGCTTTTTCAGTGTATCTGTAGTGGCTTCTTAAATGGTGTATTTTGTTTACGTGTAAAGATTCTGTGAAATGTAGTCTGTCCTTTTTTTCAGCCAGTTAAGTGTGTCGTAGAAAGATCTTCACTTTTCATTGTTGAAGGACAAATGAGGCCAAGAAGGAAAGGCCCAAAGTAGCCACTCAGAGGAGTTAGTCATACGTCACATTCTGTGAAGAAGTTGGACTAACTTGTTAAAGATAGAGCACTATCCTCCAAATCCTGAAGTCTGATATAAATGGCAAGTAGTAATAACCTAGAGATCTACAAGGGCTCTTTTCTCAATTTTTTTTTACACGATCATTCAGGTGATAATTTCAAGATTGAAATTTAGACATTAAGGGCAACATCGAGGATTAAGAGTAAAACTGATAACTATTTCAGATCAGCTTACATTAATGCTTTTACTTTTTAATGGGAGATAGACTATAAATTGGTTTAGACTTCTACTTCATAAGACGTTCTAGTGAATTTTTCTTTTTTTAATAAAGAACTGGGAAGAGCTTTCAGGAACAGATCTTCTGCATTGATAAGCCTATCAATACCTTAGAATCAGTACAAGCTAGGCTGAAATTGCCTATAAGCTTGGGAAAACTTCAAATCTAGAAACAGGAAAAAAACTTAATAGAAAAATTAAAAGCTGACTGGTCAAAGGTATTGTTGAAACATAGTTCTCTTCTGGTCTTAGCCCCTATGGGAAGTATTCCCTTTCCTTGTGATGGTGACTTCTTTTCTCGTTGTTGCTTTAAAGTTTTACATCTGCTGGAAGTTTCATTGTCCTGCTATTGCCTGTTCCTTTCATTCCTGTGGAGAGATGGTGAATGTTTATCTCCTCTGTCAACTGTAATTTATGCTTGTCAACACTTGAGATGCAAATTGTGTTAGGTCTATAATGTCTCATTGAGAAAAAAATTCCAAACAAAGTAGGTAAAAAGGAATTTAAAAAACAAAAATCAATATAGATTTTAGAAGTTCTAAAAAATGTCACAGTTTGTTCTCAGTCTTCATTTAATTCCCCTCATTGCCTCACTCTTCTCAGAAGAAAGGGAGAAATAGTGGAAGTTGTTTAGGTGACTTAGGCAATCCACATACTGCAGCAGACTTGAATGTTTTCATGTGGTGTTGAGCCACATCCCACAGCAAAACGAAATCTTATGATAACAGTTAGGTGGACTATCAGAGTATTCTACTGTACTGTCAGAGCTTTAATAATAAAATTTCAGCTTCAGACAATAAGAATTAGTCTATCATCCCAAAAACTGGTAGTCCTGAGTAATTTTTAATTATGTCTGTACATATGTTTGTATGAGAGTGCTCCTGTATCTAAGTAGTTTTTTCAGCACCTTTTAATAATGTAAAGAAATTGTAAAACTCTACATTTGTGCTTTGTTTTGTTTTTGTTTTTTTGTTTAGAGAGCACTTGAGCCTCCTGATGTGCATCATGAGAGACTTCTTCCCGTTTCTATACTAGGATTCATTGTAAATCTTATAGGAATATTTGTTTTTCAGCATGGAGGTCACGGGCATTCACACGGAGCTGGTAGGATGTCTGTAACTTCCAGTACTGTTTCCTTCCTAACCCTGTGTTCCAGAACCTTATAATCTTCCAGTGAGAACCCCAGTATTAAATTTTAATGTCTTTTTAGTAGCAATCCTAGCAAAGTGTATATTTGACTTCTGACTTCTGTGTTTTGTCACTAGCCCTAGTCACTGTTGTACTTCTCATGCTAATATCCATTAACTGGAACACTTAGAACTCTAGAATCTGCTTGCTGGAACAGCCACTCTTCTGCACCTTGTTGAAAGAGATTTGCAGAGTGTCTTTTGGAAAAAATTAAGCTGGACTTAAACAAGGTTGTGGCTGAAAAATTTAGAAGACATTGTCTGAACCAAATTTTAAGCATGGGATGATTCAGCTTCAGGTGCTTCTCAACTCAGGTGTCTTTGAATTGAAATGCAGAATTTATTTGCCTAAACATATGTGGTGAACACTTGGGTTTTTTTCTGCAAAGCCTATTGGTGTCTCATTCAGTATAACATATAAACTTACATAGTCTAGTGGAAGAAAACAGTCTTTGTCTTTAAGCAGCAATCTAAGCTTGAATTTTGAATGCATGAACAATAGCCCATTTCTGGTTTCTTAAAACAGCTGTTTTTAATGTGATCGTATCTAATTATGTGAACATTTTTCAAATTGTACTAAAAGTGTAGCACAGCTTCTCAGAAGTGGGAATGCATAAAAGCACTTCTCAAATCAGTTATATTTTAGTGTGTCTGTGTATGCATATACAATTTATATACATGTATATATAAAATATGGCTGCACAGCAGAGCTGTAGATGACAAACAGTTTTGTTTTGTTTCCTAAGTTATTTAAAGTTGTACCTTAAGATGACCCAAAAGGCAAATAGATTTTGAGTGGCTTAGAAACAAATGTAAGCGTACTTTAATTCATTATTTAAGTTCATACTCTGATGGTGGTATTTGTTTACAGGGCATGAGCACAGTCATTCTCTGTTTAATGGTGGTCTCGGCCATGGGCACAGCCACGGAGGTCATGGGCACAGCCATGAACAGAAACATGCCCATGGACACAGTCATGGTCACGGCCATGGGCACTCTCATGGTCAGGATTATTGTCATGGTAAGTACTTAGTTAATGTCCTAGACCATCTTGACTCAATCTAAATGTGCTACTAATGATTTATTGGAAAAAAAAAAAGAGAGGGTGCTGGCAGCTTGTTGTGATCATACATGGAAGTAGTTTCATCAAATGTGTAGTATGCTGTGCCGCTGCCTTGTGTCGTGGCTCATTTTGTGTGTCACTTGCAGTAAGTTCAGTGTTAGTTTTTAAAGGCTGTGATTTACCTGTGGTTTTTGAATGTTCACCTTAATGTTATGTGTTGGCAGAGGGTGGAACAGCTGTATGCGATGGCAATATAATGAAATTATCAAGTGCTCAGCTTCAATTTTTTCATTTAAATCAATAGGCAAAGTTAAGCTGCTTTGCTAGTGTTCTCCATTTGAATAATCTTACAGTTCAAGATATTAGAAAATATGAACACACAAACTTTGAGTACTTATGGATTGTTAGTTGTACTTGGTTTGTGATTTCAAATAAGATTTACCCTGTCTTGTGTAGTTGTAATCTGTTTTAAAAAGGTGGTTGTGAAAAAGGTGCTTATTAACTTAGCTATGTTTAAATCTTTTCTGTAAAGGCAAACAATCTGGGAAGAGATGTTCGCGCAAAATATGATCAGTAGCCTTTGTTATGGGAGAAGAGGCAACCTATTGAAACAGTGCAGATGAAAGCCTTGTGGTGCTGCAGGGTTGTCAGTCCTTCCTGCCTAAGCCATAAACTAGGATCTGATGTGACTAAAAATGTGCACATTCAGAGCAGGGAATAGTGTTGCAACTTGCAGACAGGAGGTGACAGTGTAAAAATATTTACTTGTCTCTTCCTTGCTGTTCTTAGCAGAAAAGTGGTGCTTGTTTTCCAGGAGTTCTCCTGGAATTTGGTTGGAAAGTAGGAGCTCCCCACTTCTGCTTCTTCCTTGCTTTCCCCACACTGCCCACCCCAGCAGAAGAGTGAATGTAGCTGTGTTGTGCAATTTGATATTCAAGTCAACTTTTGTGTAATGTATTGTGTATCCTCACTAGAAGTCATTTGCTATCCTTTAACAAGTTTTTCGTAACATATCTTTCTAGTGTGTTCCACAGAGGCATTAATCTGCTTGGATGAGAGGATTTTTTGCTTAGTTCTACCTTCTCCAAGTCTTATCCTTGTTGTTGTGCAATTAGACATTTCCAAAAGGAAGACCATAACAGAATGTACCACTAGAGAGAGCCTTTGTCTAGGTTAACGTGTCAATAATTGTCTTCACAGATGACCATTCTCTTGAAGCAGTGGCTGGATCCAGCAAACAGATTTTACAAGGTATGATGACAATAAGTATAATGGTTTATTGGTTTTATCATGGCCTGCCTGTCATTCATTTGTTTTAGAGGGTTGCTCTGGATAAATGCCACATTTTTCTTAGAGGAGCTATTCTATGAAATCTCATTCCCCTGTAAACAGAGCAGTGCTGTACCCTGTGCATGTGTAATTCACTGAAGTGTAAATGTAATGCAGTGTCAACACAGTTTAAAAGAGAGATCCCAAAATCTGGAATTCAGCTTCTGTTACTGGTGCTGAAAAATCAAATAATGAAAAACTAGGAAAGAGTGGTTAAAAGCAGAAACCTAAGGACCCTAATTGAAATGTATGTTCTGGAAAATGAAGAACAGTATGATTAAGATAGAATGTATTTGAAAAATGCAGATAGATATAATTGTTAAAGAGTATCTAAGCTTAAAACTTATCTTTCATCAAGCTCTTAGAGTTGGTTTAAAGAAGATGGTAATTTGTGATGCAAAGACAATCACTTACCAGACAATCATTCACAAAGACAATCACCAGCAGATCAATGTCCGGGGAAGTCTCTGAGCAGCTATTTTGAAAAGATAGCACCTCAGTTTTTTTGCTGAGCATGGTGTGAGATGGTGTGGAGTATCCCCCTGGTCTGTTTGGGTCACCTGTCCTGGCTATGTGCCCTCCCACCATCTTGCCCCCATCAGCCTACTTGCTCTGGGGGCAGTGAAGAAATGAAAGGCCTTGATGCTGTCTAAACCACAGCATCATGCAGGCTGCTGTGGAGAAAACCTGGCTCTGTCCCAGCCAGACCCAGTACAAATGTAGGCTTGGAAAAATCACTTAAGGGCTGATTTGTAGTTGGGTGTTGTTTTTACAAGAGGCTGGAGACTTGTGTTCAAAAACTGTTTCTGGGTGACTTCCCATTGTTGCCAGCAGAGAGCTCTAAAGGCTAAATTTTGGCTAGCTGTGAAGTACATCTTTGTATTTTAAGGCAGTGTTGTTCTTCAAAATAAGAGTGAAGTTTTTCATGTCTGCAGCAGTGTTTAATTCTCAAAACTATTTGTCTTGGATTTCTTTGCCAAATAACTTCTGGAAGATGTCATCAATGAAACAATAGCACGTTTCAAAGCTTTGCAGAGCTGTTTCTGTTAATAGTCTGTCCATCTTAGCACTGTCTGTAGGCATCAGGGAACGTGAGTTTCTTTACTATAATGTGAATGAAAAAAATCTAGCTGCATCTGTTAATTACTGTTTAAGTTGATAGCCATGCTATGAAATACCCCTTACTGCAAACTGAAGAAAAGAATGTAAATTCTTCAAGTGGACTATATTCTAAAAATATGTTAAAATCTTGTGATCACTTTGTGTGCTTGACCCAAAATTGACCACAAATTAAACAGGTATAAATCATGTTATCTAATTCTTGCAACTCTTCTCTGTAAAATGTCTTTGAAATACACTCTTTGAAATACATGTCTTTGAGAATGCCAAGTTGTAATGATATCAATTGATCTTTTACAGGTGTATTTCTACACATTGTGGCAGACACGCTCGGAAGTATTGGTGTGATCATATCTGCTATATTGATGCAGAACTATGGTCTAATGATAGCAGATCCTATTTGTTCAATGCTGATAGCACTACTTATAGGTGTAAGGTAAGCGTTGCTATCCCTGATATTTGGCAGTACTTCTGATGCTAGTTATAGCAGAAATTATAGCTCAGAAGAAAAGGTTTGTCTGTTATGCTGATGACTTCCAATGTTTGCTTTTCTTCTGAGAGGAGTATGTTATCTCTATTCTGTACAGCTGTTCTGATGAGCTCTTGTATGAGCTATTTTCTTTCCCTTTTCTACAGCTACAACTTTTGCTCTTAGATCTGCATATTTTGGCCATTTGCATAATACTACAAAAACGTCTTTCAGGTTCAAACTGTAGAAAGCTTCCTCTCTGTATTTAGTACATGCTTATATAAACCAATGTACTCCAGTAAATGGAGCAGAATGGCTTCAGGGCAGCAGAGTTGAGCCTGCTGGCACAGGATGTGCTCTTGTCCTTGACAAATCAAGGCTGGTAGGTTTTAATTTTTTTTTTCTTTCTCTGGTGAAAACTGTCTTTTCCTTTGTATTTGTACTCTGAGACATCCTTATTCCTTTAAAGACCTGATGGAAATGCTTCAAGTAGCTCTAGACTTTTCCAGTTGGTGCTTACCAAGATCACTGTAAATATGAAGCTATTTGGATTAGACTGGACAAGCAAATATTTCATTGAGTGACGCTGTTATTGAGGTTTTCTGGCAGCAGTTTCAATGGTGGAGCAGGGCAGCATGCCACAACTCCAGTTACAACCTAATAGCTGAACACCTTTGTCTCTTCAGCAGTGGTGAATGTCATCTAAACTGCAGCTACTTATGCTTATACCATGTACGGCATGTTTACAGCATATGCAGGGCAGCATTCACAGGATTATTGATGTGAATCTCCCTATTTATCAAAGTAGGGCAGCGTGCTTCAGACACAACGCCCACAGAAATCTCTCTGCTAGAGATCACGATTATCATTTTAATATACACTCTTAATATTAACTTAAACATCTTGTAATTTCATAAAGGACAAATTATTAGAAGCTACTTCTATTACTGAAATCTCAAAATGTGGGAAAGAAAATGTGCAGGTTACCAAGAGGGAAGAAACTATTGCTGAGGTAAAGGCAGTAGCTGAGTAAAACACGGGTTTCCATACACTTAGATTAGTGTACATAGATTAAATAATTGTCTGCTGTTTCAAAGGAATATTTGTCCGTTTTTTTCTGTGTCCCTTTTACTAGTTAAACCAACTTTGATAAGGTGAAGTGGGGTGAGAGTGTGGGTGTGCCGCAACAAGTGGACCCCATGCATGTTTAAAAATCAGGATCTTATCCATAATCAAAATCTTTATGACTCTAATACAGCAAGCATAGTTTTGAGTCAGAGATGCAAAAGCCAGTCTGATAAGGTTGTCCAAAAGTTTTAATGGCGTTTATGGACTTCACCCTGGTTGGAACTGTGTCCTCCCAAGTTATTGCTTAATGGTCTGATTTTGACCTAGAGTCTGCAGGGCATGAGTAGGGGGTAGGTTTGATCCTGGGCTCTTTTTTCCCTGGTGTTTTGTTTGTTGGTTTTTTTTGTTGTTGTTGTTGGTTTGTTGTTGTTGTTGTTGTTGTTAGTTTTTTGGGAGTTTGTGTTGTTGTTTTTTTTCTTTTAATCTGTATTCTTTCTATGATACTTATATATCGAAAGAAGGAATAAAGCCAGAACACAAATCCTTATTCCCTTTCGTGGAACTTTTGAGAAAGCAGTTGCAGGAGAGTGCAGAGGGAAGTCACTGCTCTTAATCCAGTGTTGCTTGTGTCTACCTGAGATAACTGTTCATTCATTCTTTTACTGAGTGTTTGCTTTGCTTCAAGGTTGGGGCAGTTCTCTCAGATTTACTTGAATCTTGCCTGCTTCTGTTAGTGGGTGTTCTCTGTTCAGGTTTCTAAAATGATGGTCACACTTGCCAAAAGAAATCACACAAATACCTGTGTAAGATGACTAAAAAGCTTACTGTTGCAGTATAAAGCTGTCCAGACTCTACTTTGTAACCTGCTTTGTCTTGTGCAGAGGCAGAAGGGTTGGGCAACGCTTTGCTTCCTCAGAGAGTCAAGCAGTGCTTTTAAATCAAATGGTTGAGCCTTGCTGTAGACAACATCTCTAATTAGTGCAAATTGTCAGCTGCTGACACGGTGTCTCTGTGTTACTCCTGTGACCCTTCACTAAGGCTGCTCTAGGGTGACATATTCTCTGCCTAACACCTCCTGAGTTAGCACAGAACATTCTGACTGCATAGTGAAAATCTGCTGTGGGATTTGAGTTTGCCTGGATGCAACCACTAGTATCTAATGAACTCTTCTTTAATTACTTTTGGTACTATCTCATGCAAGTGTCCATTTAATTATAAATAGGACATGCTTAAAATAGACAAGTCTGTCTTACTAACATTTTTAAGGTTGCTTTTTTTAACAAAAGTTTGACTATTTCATACTTGTTCAGGTTGACACTTGAAGTTTTTTCCAAGGTGTTGTCCTCATAATTGTATGTGCCTGAATCAATATACAATTTCTCAAGTCTCTAAACTGCTTTTAATATTTAAAACTAAATATTCATTTAGTTTTTAGCCTTAGCATGCTAAGCCTTATTCAGAAATGTTGAAGCAATTTTAGTGTTTCAGTCAGCTATGTGAAATTAGACACCACACAAAAGCCACAACACTAGTATAAATCAAGTTTGTCTGAAACCACTATTAGACCCACATGTTTCTTGAAAGGCACAGTAGACTAAATCTCATACTAGATTGCATAGGGTATGCAGACTACATATTAAGTGGTCAAAGAAATGAGGCAATATACATTTAGTGAAGTTGTTTCCATGGGTTATGTAATTTTTTTGCATAAAATCTAAAGCTTCTTGAACATGATATAATATGAAAGAGCTTTGGGGGGAGGGTGTGCCATACTGTTTGGGATATATGTTTGAGCTATAACAATATGAAAAAATTACTTTTTTAAATGAAGTGCTGCATTCTCTAAGATTCAGAAGCAATGTTTTATAGCAAAACTCCTTCAAACTACCATGTTTGTCATTGGTATTGTTTTAAGCCATTATTGCTAAATATCGTGCACTGCTTTATTTACAGGGTAATGGTACCTGCCAGCCTTGCTTGAGAGTCAAGGTACTATGTTGTTATGAGAACAAGCAATTCAAAATCAGTAAAGTAAATTTTAAACCTGTGATCCTTGTCTTGAGCAAAGCTTGCAGTCTGATTAAAATTGCCATTGCCTAGTAGTAAAATTTTATTAAAGTTCTCAAATAGGCTGACAGCCTTGGTACTGCAGATATGGATGGTGGTTGGGCAAAAAAAAGAATTTGGAAATCTGGCTGTAGATTTTCAGCTACAGTATTTGAAGAACCATAGCTGGTCTTGATCCTTAGCAATGTTTGTTTACCTTCCACAAAATCTATCACAAATATCCTCTCTTTTCTGTAGTGCTGAGAGCACTGAATGAATTTCCTGCTGTGCTCTGAGTGCAATGACTGTGAAAAGGGTTCTTTACCCAGTGTTGTTTTCAGCCGTGCAGTCTGAGATTATAGCAATGCCAGGGTCTTGCTAGCTATGCCTACAAAAACAGTGGCATAAACAGGATGGGACTGGAATGGGTACGAATATTATCTGAATGTGATGCAGGTTAATTAAGAGTTTGATGCTTTCACTCTTCATTTTTAATCAAGCCTTGTGTCACAGGCAGGCTGGATTTATCAGATTCATATAAATAGCTTTTATCTGTTTGAACACCTTTCACTTCTTCTGTAACAGTGTTATGTGCAACTGTGATGTGCTGTAACATTAGCTGCTTTTGCAGTTCTAGCTTTTTCAGAGGATATGTTTTTATCCCAAGTCTTGCTGTGGGTTAGCGCCTCTTTCAAATTCCATTGTCTTGTAAAAGACTGTGGTATTTTAGACTTAAGGCTTGGTAATCAAGAGACCAATGGAAAATTGAGTCTGCTTTAGCAGCAAAGTTTAAAGACTCCTTGTGCATGAGAAAGCTTTCCACTTGATGAGCATTCAGCATTATTTATTTTCCTCGATGATCTTATAATTTAAAACAAACAAGAGGGGAAGTACCAGTGCAATAGTTGCTGCAGAGACAGCCATATGTTTTTTTCACTAATGATTAATCCCCAAAAAAAAAAAAAAGGAAAGCTTTGTCAAATGCTCTGACCACATTTTCAGCCTGCTTGGTTTTGTCATCTTTCATAATGTTTTCTTCAGTCACAGAGATGGAACTGATATTTCTAGTGCCTCCTTGTGATTAAATATTACTGTGTTTAGTTAATGTTTGAGAAAAGAGCATAGTGTGTGGAGTTTTGGTTTTTAAATTAAAGGTTTTGTACTTAAGTAGTATGCATGAAACAATAGAAAACATCAGACATCATCAAACTGGATTCTGTTGTTTGTGGTGTTAGTTTGGCTTACAGTAAGACTGTCTTGTGAGATAGTATCCCGTTGGATGCAGAGGGTATCCATGGCCACCTGTGCTCTTAACAGCATTTGTGAGGGCCTGTCACATCACTGCAGCTGTCTTTTGGTCTTTTCAGCTTTTCAAAAGATGACATTTGCATCTGAACACTAAGACAGAGGGAGGAGGGTGTGACCCAGGATATGCTTCAACTTCACCAACAGTATCAAGCCACATCCTGATTTACCTCTGTTCTTTGGACTTTTAAGATAGTTTTGTTGCATAGCCTGTCTCTCCAAATGTACTGACAGTTAATTTCCCTTCCATCAGATAATGTACATCAGTTTTACCAAATAATGTAAATAAGTTGTGCAAATTAGACATTTTTTGTTAGATTTCTTTCCTGGCTTTTTTCACTCATAGTGGTATGTTTCAACAAAAAGGCAGGCTATTACATTCTCTATTCCTTTAGTTGTTTCCCTGGGGAAAAATATGCAGCCTGTGTGTGTGTGGCTTTTAAAGCCTTTGGGTGCCTATGTTACAGGGACCTTGTTAAATTTATGGAGATGGAGTTGGTGTTCAAAATTCCTGCATTCAGTTTGCATCCTGAAGTTGTGTATTGGTCTTTCAAGGTTTTTATTAAGAAGCAAACCTGCATTTTAAATAGTGAGTTAAACTGAAATCAATTCATCAGTGGAGTGTTTTGGCAGCTCCAGCTCCCCTTGATATAATGCTTGTGACATGGACATTATTTAGTGAGATGGGTCCATTAATAAGAGTACCTTTTTTCCCCTAAACTTCTGTAATCCACTCTAGAATGTGACACTCCAATTAAGCTTCCTTTAGACAGATTGACAGTTATTGCACTGCTAAATGTTTATCTTGGTGACAGGTCCAGTTTAGGCAACTCCTGCGTGTCCCTAATTGCTTCTTCCTATTTCTGAACTGATGCCTTGGTAGCAGCACAACTGTGTGAGGCCATGTGATGGAGTGCACCAGGCAGTGACTTTGGCTGGAACCACCATTGTGCCTGCAAGAAGACTTAATTTTAGGATGGTGGTTTTTCCAGAGGTTCATTAGACAGGAGTCACACACCCTCTAAGTCCCTCCCTCCCCTGGCTAAGGTTTAGCCAAGGGGTGAGCTGAGCAGTCAGTCAGCCATCACTGCTTCCATGGACTAATGGAACCATCTGTTTAAAACTGGTTAGGTCACATTGTCCACCATCTGCAAATACACAGCTGGTCTGTGCCATGCATTCCACATCACTTCATGAGATTTTAAACTAAGTTTCTGTGGTTTTCTCTAAGAACTAGCCCGGTTAATCTCTTACAAATGTTTTCGGTGTGCTTGCAATCCTGTCACTCTGTGTGCTGCAGCTGTGATGCCAGTGCTGAACTCTGAAATTCAGCTTACCATTTCTGAAATATATAGTCACTTTTGGCCCAGAGTGTTCGGTGACTTGTATGCTCTTGAAATTAAATTGCTATTTAAGCTTTAGTGTTGGGTTATAGATATTTGTTATCCTCTTGAAAATAATGCTGTAGAATGCTGTACTGAACCAGGCATGGTGCACTATTCCTAAACAAAAAAGGCAAAAAAGGTACCATGCTGAATACTTAATAAGAGTATAACTTTTTAGTGGTAGCTTCAGGGTATGGGCTTACTGGTCTCCTGGTTTTATTAAAAAAAAAAAAAGTAATAACAATAAAAAAGGGTATTAAATGTCTACTTAGTTATCTGATTAAGCAAGACCACTTGGCCAAGAGGGAACCTCTAATTTCTTCCAAATGTTTAACCCCTGAGTTTGGATGAGACCCTACAGTTAGTTCACTGCAAGAATATGCAAAGTTGTCTGTTTCTGACAAATTAACTTTGTTATAGCTGGACTGCTCCACACTGATTTCATTTTATGATTGCCCCATTATTATCTTAGTTCATAAGAAAAATATGCCTTAAGCCAAACGCAAAGGCAAAACCCATTGCAGTTGAATATTGTTATGATTACTTGTGAATGATTTGCCATTGAAGTAGGTTTTGAGCTATACTTATCAGCTGCTTTGTTGTATAACTTCTAAGATACTAAGACATCTCATCTCAGATCCCATGATTAAACTATTAGTCTTTTGTGATCAGCCACTGGGTAGGGTAGTTCTGTGGAAAATGTGAGGGAGAAGTAATCCTGCCTTTGGTAAGACACCACAGCAATTTTGTAAATCCTTCTATTTTCTGTACTAGGTTTTCATGGCAACACTCTTAGCTTCTAGTGGAACAACTAAAGAAGAATTTCTCATGAGTGTTAAGGAATCTTAGGTTGCATCTTCTGAAAATGTAATAATAGCTGATTTCCTTTTTTCTTTCTAGCATTGTTCCACTTTTAAAAGAATCCATTGGGATTTTGATGCAGCGAACTCCTCCTTCCTTGGAAAATGCCCTGCCTCAGTGCTACCAGAGGGTGAGCTCTTAAGCCATTTTTGCTCATCAAGCTGCTGGCTTATTGAGCCTCAGCTGTGTGTATGAGGATATTTTATGATGTGTTTTCAATAATGCCTGTAAAGGTTCTTTAGAATATACAAATGGAGGTACTAGTTTAATTAATGTTTTCCTGAAGTCCCAAATTGTATGTAGCTTCTCCTTTGTTTGTGTTTTAAAAATGTGCTATGTTAGTGAAGAAAAATAGAACCTGAAGCTTTCCTCCCAAAGTCTTCTGTGCTTATACAAAGTGCAAAATGTTTTTCTGTTTTGTTCAGTTTCTGTCTCCCACAAAATCTAGTTCTTAGTAGTGTGAGGTGGAGTAACATTGGAAGTGTATTTGAGTATACATAGGTTACTCTGGATTTGACCTGTTCTCCTGTTTAGCTAATGTATTACAGTGTCATGACCTGAGTGCTGAAGTGTCTTTGCAAAGTTAATATGAAGCACTTGTAGGAATGCTGTCTGCCCTGGGGGAGTTACAGATTGTAATTGGTCACTTGGAGGGTTTGCTAAAATTGGACAGAGGAAAAAGAAGGGGGTTGGCAGGACAAACCTAAGCCCTTACAGAATATTTACAGAAGCGTTAATGTATTAATATAAATTATATATGAATATGTTTTCACTGAAGTTAGAATCCCACAGATTTTTTTCATGGCAGAATTCCCACATTTGCAAAAATTGCAGTTTTAATTGAATGCCCTCTCAAATTCAGTAACTGACTTTTTTCTTTTGGACACCTATTTTCAGAAATGGTTTCAGTAAAATACATGTAGAATGTAAATGCATGGTACAAAATCGTGGCATATACACAAATCTGAATGATTTCACCTTCCTTAGGGTAACCGAGGTAGTAATGAGAAATTTTGCTAAAAGATCACAGTTTGCACAGTGAACTAGAAGGAAAAGAATGCATTGGCTTTTATAATACTTTCTGTAAAAAAACACAGTACAGACAAATATTTTCTGAAATACATTTTCTGAAATTTGCCTGTATTTTTAGGTGCAGCAGTTGCAAGGAGTTTACAGTTTACATGATCCACATTTCTGGACCCTCTGTACTGATGTTTACATAGGGACTTTGAAATTATTAGTAGCTCCTGATGCTGATGGAAGGTGGATTCTAAGCCAGACTCACAATATTTTTACTCAGGTATGTCTTAGTGGAAATCACATCTCAAAACATAAATTGCCTGTCACGTGATGTGACATTGTAATTCTTATCAAGCAAAATTAAGTGTTTCTGGGTTTGGAATCTGTGTTTTGAAAAGCTTCTCTGCTCCAGCTGTATAGAACAATTTCAAAATACTCAGTTGTGTAGATGGAATTACTGTACCTCTCTGCATTCGCTTTTGATGCCACTTTATGGAAATAACACCTCAGGTGCATCAAATTGGGTTGACCTATATTGACCTATGAGGAACCAAGAAAATAGCCGAGGCTTCCCTTGGGATAGGGCTTCCAACCAGACTGGACCTATTCAAGCTTTTCACTGCACTGGCTGCTTGCACATGTGATGACTTTCTTGCCAAAATCATACTGTAGAACTGGTTTGAACAACAAATTCCTGTGTTACACTCTTGTGCTTAGCTTCATTTTAAAGCGACAGCTCTTCAAGCAGCTTACTTTTCAGGAAGTTAAACTTGTACAAAGGAAAGTAAGAATTGCTTTTGTGCAGCTTCAGGAATGGCAGTGATTTAGGATGAATCAGAGAAGGTAATGTAGCAAAGCTAATGCTAATATATCATTACTTGACTGTGTGAAGAACTCTGTATTCACACTGTGCTCTCGATGTGCTAAATGTGGGAGATGAATTACAGATAAATAAGACATTGAGGGTTTTTTGCTAGGTAAGTACTGATGTTCAGGACAGGTAAATTGCTTTGGCTTTACTGGGTTTTTAACTCTCCTTCCCTTTTCCATAGGCAGGAGTAAGACAGCTTTACATACAGATTGATGTTGCAGCCATGTAGTGAATTTCTGGAATTGTGCTGTTGGACCAAAGTTTTCAGTACTGTACTGGTACAACAACCTACTTCTCGAGACAGAGCCTGCCTCCACCACTGTTCTGGAATCAACTGAATACATTTCTGCCCTTGGGCTATGGGTGGAGTTCACTTCTAAGGAGTAAATATTGAATGAATGTTATGGACTTGGGATCTTGGTTTTTTTGGGGCCCTCAAACTTTTAAGTTTTTGAGGGTTTTTACTTAATAAGATTGCGGTACTGGAAACCCTGTCATGTCTTCAGTAAAGCTGCTGAAACCACTGCTCATTCCCATAAAACCAGTGTTATTGACAATTGGAAACTTGTTTTGTAGATGATGTCACAATGGCTGACATGCTTCAATATAATTGTATGTTTGTACAATTGTTTGTACTTTGCAAACTTAATGAACCAAACCATATTGGGTTTTCAAAGTGCCTTTTATATCAGGAGAGCTATTTGCCAGCACAAATATGGAGCATCAAAGGGTTTTATTACTTTTACAAATAATCTTGTATGCAGTCTGATTATTTACTAGTGATGTATGGGGGGGGGTTGTGTACTTGCATAACTGTAGATGTTAGACTTCCATTATACTTGCATCTTACCAGACAGAAGAATTCTAAATGTAAAAGACAAAGCTGTTGTGAAGAGACTTGCTTCCAAAACAAGCTGGGTATTTTGTTACACATGTCTTGTGAAAATTATTTTAGTCAAAATATTAAGATTTAACTCCAATTCTTAGTCTCTTCATACTGTTGAAAGTAATGAGACACTACATGATGCTACTCATGTTTATAGTCACTTAAGAAACAGACAGCTGAGGGAAGATGCTGGTGATGGAAGCAGTGCTTGAAGTTTTTTATTTTCCAAATCCTGATGGAAAAAACTAAATCTTGAAATTGTTTGTGAAAGCTTAAATCTCCTTGATTTTAATAGGTTGTAATTTTATTAAAGTGATTGGTGAGATAATTTTTGCCTTTCCAAATACTGAAAATAATTGTTCCTGGTGGCTATACCCAAAACGGAAATAAGGACCATGTTTCATGCTTAAGATTATGCTTTTCCCAGGTTGACAAGTCTGATATCTTTGACTATCTTACTGTAGCTTTTGTATGTTTTCATGGGGGAGAAAGTTCTTAGTGCAGCATGGGTTGGTTGGTTGGGTTTTTTTCCAGAAACATTAGTCTGTCATATTTTTCTAGCATTTATAATCATTTTGCTCAGATATCTGAGTACTGTTTTCAAAACAAATCTGCTATACTTGGTACTACAGATGATAGTTCCACTGTGCTGTAGTCGTTAAGTTATAAGGGAAGACTTTTTAAGAGGACATTTTCCAAACAGAACACTGTGGAGTAAAAAACAAGGCAGGCATTTTTCTGATAAATCATAGCTGCCACTGACTGGTATGGATTTTAAGTATTTTTTTGGTACCTGTTATGTGGTAATAGTGAAAGCAAGGCCCTCTGAAGCTGACAGTGTCTGTGTAGTAAGTGCTGGGCACTACAAAATTACTGAAGGTTGATTTGCAGAAATGTTTGCCACTGATATTGCTGAATTCATAGCAGATATGAAGAGTTTCTTGCGTTCACTCTGTTGTTCCTATAGAGCACCTGGATTTTGATTTCTTCTCATGTGAAAAAACAACAGTTGCCAAACTGATAGGTGGTTCCTGACTTTTCCAGATGGGATATTGAAACATGAATGTTGATTTTGTACAGAGCTTAGGGGTGTACCCTTGTGCTTGGAACCGAAAACTGGATGCAAAGAAAAATAGTAGTACAAAGCCACATATATTATTGCTTTTAAGCTTTATAGTCTCTTCCAGCCTTCAGATCCTTCTTTATCCCTGTTGCTGGTTTCTCATCCTGTTGGCTGCTCCTGGGGATGTGGGTGCAGAGTGCCCTTTCATCTGGCTGCACCGCTCCACATCTCTCTTCTGGCCTCCTGCCTGGCGCTGTCAGGCTCTCTCCCCATCCCACCTTGCAGATCCCCTGCCTGGCCCAGACTTTACTGACTGAAAGATGGGATCTGGGAGTTACACAGCACAGGGTGGGTGCAAGAATCTGTTGAGCAGATTTGAGCATTGCAGTTTAAGATACCATGTGCATGTATGTTCACAGAAAAGGTGATTAAAATCTGCTTGTGATTATAGGGTGGAGTTACTGTTTTGTAGTGTGTTGAATATAGACTGCTGCTAGTTGGCAGACAGCATGACTTCCTCATTTTTCAATAGTTAGTGTTACTGATATTTGAGGCTAGAGAAGATCAACTGATACTACTTTAAAGGCAAGCACCAGCCAACTTCAATGCCATTGTGTCATGATCCAAAAGAAGGCTTTGGTTTAAATTTTTATACCAGCATGTTTTGGGACTGGGTATTCCTGGACTTGATAAAATACTGTAGTGCTGCCCTAGTCACTGAGCTTGGCCACTACTTTAGTTTTCCTAATGAAAAGACAACTGCTGCTATTTGTTCCCAAGTGACAATCTGGCCAAGTGGCAGTTGGGTTTTTTTGATGCTGGTATTTTTTTAAATGTACATCTACAGACTTTTTTAATATGGCAAATGGAGTGAAAAAGCCTATAAGCCAGTTATAATTATAAAAACAATTTTAATGACTTTTTTATTTTTTTGCTTATTATGATTTATCAGATTGTTGGAAGGATATGTACAAGTCTGAGTTTTCTAACTAAGATAGCACTTCGTTATTTTTAAACTTGGTGTTTTATAGTAAGAAATGTATCATTTGTTTGTCAAATATAATTGGGGATAGTGTAGGGAAGTCAGATTTAAAATAGACTTTAAGCCTTTTTAGGCTTTCTGAAAAAGGATAAGCATCACAAAATGTTACAGAAGACAGTATATGACATGTTCAGTAGGTAACTACAGTCATATCTAGTATGTCAGTAAACCGAGTGACATCAGATTTATTTTTTTCACTTACTGAGGGGATACTTGCTCAGGTTTTAGGAGAGTACAAATCACGCAATTGACAGTGCAGCTTTTCTTACCCTGAGAGCCAAAGGACCGTTACTTTGTGTTTTGCTAATTACCTAACACTTGGCTGCTTATGTAACACTTTGCTTTTGACACTTTATTGCGTGGCATCATTTAAACAAAGCTTTGTGTGAGTGGCTGACATCCAGAGATGGATGAAGGTCTACAGATCATCTGCTAAAACTCAGCTTCCTGGTATTCACTACTGAATTTTGAACTAAGTTTTCAATTTATGGTTTTCTCATGTTTTCATGTAGCTGAGCTTACTACTGTGGGGTTAAACGTAGTCTGTCTTTGTGGTTTTTTTCTGTGACTGAAACCCGTAACTTACAACCCTGTTGTCCCAAAGACCAAGCCTGCAAACTGCATGATTTTACTGCGCCTACAGCAAAATAAGAAGACAAATGCTGCAGAGCGTCTGTATGAAAATGCCCCAGTGCTTTTTATGGTAAACAACAGTGGAAGAAAAGTACTCTTATGAATATGCACAGTGAAGACTGGTCCTTTATAGGCTAATCTGGTAAGTCTACAGATATGTACAGACTGGCTCCTTACATCAGCTGGGCCCCTACAGAGAGCTGAGTTACTTGTGTGATTTGCTAAACTAAGGCAAAAAGTGCAAGAAGCAAATAAATTACTCTGGTTTTTATGTAATACTGCTTACTAAAACAGAAGTTTAGTTGCATCATTAGTAAGAGCTGCTTACACTATTTTTACATAAAAATTGAAGCTGCTGCTACTAATAAAATGGACATTAGTGACTCTTAACATTCTTAATTTTTTTTTTAAGTAAAACTGCCTTTAAAGGTGAAGGAAAGTAAGGGTATCTCTTTTTAACTGTTGTAAGTGAACCTGTTTTGGGAATTAGGACAAGATGCAAGAGGGGAGAGAAGCTGCTGCTGACCTGCATTTTTCCACCCTTTGCACACACTCTGCATTCAGATTGTAAAGTCTATGGCATTTCTCTCATAGTGCAGATTTCAGTTGCAGTTGCACAGTGCAAATTTTCAGTTGCATGCTTCTGTAAAATGCAAACCCTTCTCTCTCTTCATGAAACAAGGTCTTTAAATACCAGTTCAGAGCAACAGTTTTATTTAATAATTAAGCCCTGTCCTGTTTCTTCCAGAAGCCATCAGACTGCCACTTGCTATGATTCTTCATTATCCACCCCTTTAAGCAGGATTTTCTTTTTTCTCTTTTTTAATAATCTGTCTGATCCCTAATACTGACTCAGTAATTAATTCCTCCTTTACACTTCTATTCCCTTTTAGATTTGTCCCCCATTCAGGCTTTGTTGCAGTGACCATCCCTGTTGGGACTCCATTGGCCAGACACTGCTATAATGTGAAGATGCCAGTCATGCTTTGCTGTGCCTGGCATGCGAAGACTGTCTTGCTGTGTGCACACACTGCTTAATCTGCTTCTCTGTTTCAGTGAGCCACAAAATATTCCTGCCTCTGTGGTAATTTGGCGGAAATAATAAGTAAAAGGAGGTGGGTATTTCACTTCCCATGTGCATTGGAGTCTCACGTGTATGCTGGGATCTTGTACAAGAGTTAAGTGAATGGCTACAGTACTTTGGCTGAAGTGTGAAATAATGTGAATGAAGCAATTGCCAAAATCATTCCTGGTAGCAGATAGCATATTGCTTACCTTTACCTTTAAATTACAGGAATTACTCTTAACAGTGAGCTAAAGTTGAATAGCACAGGGTAGCAAAGTACCTGTGAAGAAATCACAAGGCAGCTTACTAAAATTCTGAAGACTATGTATGATTTGTTCTGGAATGCTAATGTTAGTAGCTTAGCCACGACTTGTCCCAAGTGCAATATTAAGAAATTTTTAATGTAATCTTTTCTACTTGAATACAGTCTATATAAAATGTTAAATATCCTATATTGCTGAAAAGATATGGGATCAAATTTCTTTCCAATAAATCTTCAGTTTAAAACAAAAAAAGCATACAGGTCTGCTTTGTTCTCGTCTTACCGTGAAGACTAGTTGAAATAGTGACCACCATCATCCACTAGCTGATTTTAAACAGAATTCTTGCAGTCTGCTTAAGGTTAATTGTGGTTGTTGCAGTTCGAGTCCAGCCCTTTGTGAATGCTAGCATTAATATATGAAGAAATCCAATTCTATTTTAAGTTGCAGCCTTCTGAAATAAGAAATTCTGTGCAGCTTCTCCATCTGTTTCACCAGCTGATCAAAGGGTAAGTTCTTGTTTTTCTTGGTTTAGAGCATTCTCACCTGTCTGTATTCACTCTCCCAAAGTAAAGATGGACACAGACCTAACAGGTTTTGCATGCTAATGGTTTCTGTTGGTGAGAGGACTACTAAGTTTCTGGGAAGTTGAAAAGCGAAATTTAACATCTAATGCACTTACAACAATGTATGCAGTAGGCTTGGTTAATGGACTACAGCAGAAGTGATGTCCCCTTGATCACAAGTGATGCTGATGTATTTAAAACTTTCTGGAGGGTCTACATGGTAGAAGCATATACTTGCAGCCTCGGGTGAAAGCAGGTCCATGTTCCTACAGTGCTGCCTTCTGAAGCAATATGCAGCCTAACTGCTGTTAGGCAAGTCTTAAATATTCACAGGAATAGCTTTATGCTGTTAGGAAATTAAAGATGGAATAAAAATGCAAATGCCTCGTTTTTATTTAAGTGGTCCTTTGACATGCATTATTTTCAAAACTGGAACTATCTACAGAAAAGAGCTTAAGCATTTCTAATTCCAGAGGATGCATAGTGCCTGTAACAATTAAGGAATGTAGTGGACCGCCCAATTCCACACTGGACATCTGCTGTAGTGTGCCTGCTGCAATCTTCTCATCTGGAGCACCCACACGAGCAAGGCCAACACAAATTGTGTTTTCAGTAGTTTCTGTAAGAAAGAAGATTAAATGCTTAATTTATTGACGAATGATCCCATCATAAAGGACAAAAGTTCTCAAAGTGCTTAA